TTGTACGGCATGGACTTTTCGGTTAAGGTTTGTATCAGGCTTGTTTATTTATTTATAGGCCTGATCGCAGGTTAAGTATATCGCTGAAACCACACCAAAAACACAAAAAGAGAAAATCACCAGGTGTTTTCCGTGTTCCAAAGTAAATTTGTGAATAAAGTCTAACGATTATGAGAGGTTAAAAAGTTTCGAATTCGAAAAAATAAAATTTGGCTTTGCTTTATTCCTGACCTTAGATATTTTGTCAAAACTTAATTTCAACTCAATTTACGGTAATTGTAAATAAATACTAAGTCTTGTTGTTTTCTTGTCATAGACTCATAGTATAATTTTGGCTACTTGCAAGTGTTTACTTCAGCGTGTACTCAAATTGAATATTAAAACGTTTCATTATTAAGAGCTTGTGTGTTTTGGGGGTTTTACAAGCACTCGTTCACGAAAAAAATCTCGAAATTTGATACTGAATTCGTTTTCGCCTCGTGTATAGTAGAAAAATTCTTGTCTCTTGCTCGTAATCCCGCTAACACACTCCAATATCGTGGATGGTTAAAAAAAAATGAATAGGAAACAGCTGTCAACGCCAGCAGACGTGACGTATATGTCCAATATAACGAATATTTTAAATTTAATTTGCTTAAAAAATAATAAGGAAACATGAAAACAAACCGGCACACCAGGTTGAGACGCCATCAGCATGCTGAAATTCTGAAAACATGCGTGATCGTGAGTTTCCAGTGTTTTTATGATCCATGATTACATTTCAATCGTATTACAGAATCAACATGCAGACAAAATCATCAGTTGCAAGGTTATATTACACACATCTGATCGTTTATTATTTTAGAAAGTATCTTGCTATATCAACATTTGCTATTTACAGTGATGTTATATATGTTCTTCTAATTTGTAAGCAGCGCTTCGAATGGCAAGAAAGGCGATGAAACTAGTAATAAACTCTGAACAGTATAAAGCTAAACTATAAACAGCATATATTTGGCGTGATATATATTCTATTTACGTCTAGTCGAGTGTGAGAAATTTGAAAGTTGGTATGCATAGGAAGTATTAATGAAAATCGCATGTGTGTTTGGCGAAATATTTATATAATTATAATTAACTACTTGGCTACTGAAAAAATGTAATTCGCTACAGAGTTCGCTACAGCTACAACTATATACGGTTTTGTAGAAGCATGGATAATAAAATAAATGGATAGAACTCTAGCTGACGTAAGCAAAAACAACCTAGTTGCAATCTGTGACGTCACGCGTATTGCAAAGTTCTCGGCATTTTTGTTGTTTCGCTATACTTTCCGCTTTAAAAGAGTAATATTGAAGCATATACTGGTCTAATTGTTTTAAAAACATGCCTAAGCCACGACAAAGTATTCAAGGTAAATGTTTTTCATCTTTGTTTTGTATTTTTTACATTTGTAGCTACGAAATTGGCGTCCCCAATTTTAACGAAATCTGGGATGACTTTTTCACTGTTTAGTGTTGAAATATTTGCCAAAAATTGACTGGGAATACTTAGAGATTTCATCGTAGAATGGCGTGGTTATATTCATTTGCTCTTTGACTAAAATGTTTAGCTGTAATTGCTAAACATGCCGTTTTTGAGAATTTGGTTTGCAACTATGTTTGAACATCCAATCACGCCATCGATCAGCCCATTGAAAACATTAGGTACGTCACATCAGCTAGTTTCCTATCCATTTATTTTATTACCATGGTAGAAGTAATCAAAAACTTACTCGCTGTACTTGAAAATTGTTATTCGCTATATACAGTAGGAAATTCGCTACAGTAGGGAATTCGCTATACTTGGTCATTTATCTGGCCTGAAAGCAAATATATCACTTGAACGAAGGAACCGCATTCAATCTTGTTGCAATTTAACAAAAACCTTTTCATCTCTTGCTGAGGTATAGTAGACATGTTCAAAAAAGCGAACCTTTCAACAGAGCTCCAAATTATATGAAGTTCGATCTTTGTTACCATAAAGTAACACTCTCTTCCCCTTTAACTTTCGACAATTTTTAATAAACTTTTCCTTAGCACGATAACATCTGAATTTAAAAAAGACGAGTTCTGTTGCGAAAAAAATTGAGACCGTTTCATAGCAATCTTCATCAGTTTTTTCATACAATGCCAGATATTCTAAGCCAGTTATACTTTCAGCAGCAATTGCTACTAGTATTGTGCTTCCTTAAATCCTAATGACATTTTTGCGAAGGCTAGCGCAGAACGTAACAAGCTATTCGATCATACTGAGGCTGTTTTATTGTCAGTAGTAGCTTACCCCCTATTTGTTTAATATAATTTCTAGCAACAACACCAGGAGGAGATACGACAACACTTTCTCCAGCTACACCACCTACAACAACAGGTAAGTACAGTACTTAAATATTGAATGGTTAAAAAATAAAACAAATCTTCAGAAAATCTTCCTGATCGCACATACCCTAGTCGTGAAGGACTGGTACAAGCTAGATTAGCGCTAACCTCGGGTTGTAATTTTACGCGCTGTTTTGGTTTGGGTACATTTGCACTTAATTTAATCTGTTTATATATAATTATTTCAAACCTTTGGAAAATAGAACTTCTATTGATCCAGGCATGAATTGTGGAAAACTGTCTTCATGTTTCTAAACAAGATTGCTTTGAGATTGGCGTTAACTTGGCATTGAGGTTTCCAGCTTTTGAAAAAACGGCCCCTGTTTAATTGTGTATACGTAGTTTAAATTCTGTTTGCTTAATTTCTGTTTGTTTAATATAATTTCTAGCAACATCGACAATGGGGGGAAATACGACAACACCTTTTCCAACCACACCAATAGGTAAGTATACTTGAAGACCGAATGGCCATGGTAACAAAATAAATTAAATATTTAGAAAATCTTCCTGATCGCCTACACCCCAGTCGCGAAGGACTGCTATACAATTATCAGATCTATGAAAATGTGCGAGCGTTGTGAAATCCATGCCGACAATCCTTATGTTCAGCGGTATTCCAGGTTTAGTTTCTGCCATACGCAACAGGTGGGAAATTTGCTGTCGCTGGCCAGCAAGTTGCGGGCGCTAGCGAAAATTTTGTTTTTAAATTATTAAAATGAGCAGAAACAAGTTCTGGGGCTTCTCGTTTGGGACGAAAACAGTGGATGTGCAAGAATTTAAGTTCGTTTATTCAAAGGCTGTTGAAAAATGTCCTGGATAAAAGACTTTAAACTGAAATCGGACAATTATAAACTATTTATTTCTAGGACGAAACATTGACAAAATTTAACTTTTTTTGAAGATGCAAGTTGTTTTCACTCCTTGGATTGTGGGTTTAAAATTTGTTTTTAAAGCATTTTTCTACTCAGAAATATCTTGTTTATTTATTTAAATATTTATGCTTAAATCCTTGAAAACACATAGTGCAAAAATCGTGATTTTGCTAAAAATAGGAAAAAGCTAAATTTTCAACTTAAGATTGTAAAAAATCTAGCCGAAAGCCTCAAAACGAGACTATCTCTAAATTATTCTTCAAAGATTTCTTAATTCACTAATCAATGTATTGTTCATATGAAAACACGGGTTGATACCAAAAACGGTACAACCATCTAATATAGTCTGTAATAGTCTGAATAGGTGCCTCTGAATATTCCGCTAGAAATTGCATGTGTTTGTTAATCCTGTTCGTAAAACATATCCATTGAAAGATTAGAGTGCTGAAGGTGCATAACTTATAATTATATTGTTCTGGCCAAGAATATAAATCCATATCTTCTATCGAATGTGTAGAGTAACTAATGTTCAGGTTATCATATGACCATTGAAAGATTAGAGTCTATTGATTCAGAAAATATGGGCAGTTTTGAAATCATGCGAATACGTTTCTATCTCTCTCCAATTTAATATGGGGTGATTTATGGGGGTAAAGGTTAGCAAAATGAAATAAAAAAATAAAATATTTTAAAATCTAGCCGAGAGCCTCAAAATCAAATATGGTTTAAACTACTACTTAAAACATGTACTTTGTATTGGGAGATAATTCATTCATCTAAAAATACGGAATAGTAGGAATTACTGGACATTTCCATCGGAATCGGAGGTAATTCCGATGTATGTTACGCAAAAGTTGCAATTTTATACATTTTTTTAGCCTCTGAACGTTCTCATACCTTCCTCGTCTTTCCGGCAATGCAATAGATTAACATTTTTTTGGTTAGCAGAAAAAACGACCTAAAAACGCCAATAAAACGCTCAAAAATCAAATTACTATATTTACACGCCCCAAGTCTCTTTCTCTTAAACCGCGCAAATTTTAGCGCATGCGCAGACAAATTTCCCACCTGTTGCCATACGCTCCTACGTACTCTTTATGCGGTTGTACATAAAATGAAACTCTATTTCTTGATCACCATTGTTAATCTCAAGATATACCATATCTTCGTTTAATTTAACTTCACTTCGGGATCCAACGGCGTCAACGTGCCTGTTTGAAAAACGTCGTGACCTTGAAGTTTTGCCGGGCTATATTTAATAAACACTTAATAATAATAATAATAATAATAATAATAATAATAATAATAATAATAATAATAATAATAATAATAATAATAATAATAATAATAATAATAATAATAATAATAATAATAATAATAATAATAATAATAATAATAATAATAATAATAATAATAATGGAAACTTTATTTTGACATTTTATGTATATACAATTATAAATCTCACTAATTAAGGTAATTTATAATTGACTACTTGAACTATTATTGATAAAACTATATTACAGGTATAAAACTAAGAGAAAGGTCATTCTTAAATGTTCATCAAGTCCGGATCGGTCCAATCCTTGTTTCTACAACAAAATATATAGTACGTTGTTCTGATGGCGATGGACATTATTTTCTTAACACAAAAGTTCTGATGTTTTTTATCAAGACCAACTTCGTTCAACATTTTCATAAACGAACATTTTCATTTTCGTAAATGAACATTTTCAACATTTTCATTTTTATAATAATAATAATAATAATAATAATAATAATAATAATAATAATAATAATAATAATAATAATAATAATAATAATAATAATAATGGAAACAGGATTTATTGCTAACAATTAAGTATACATATAAAAAAATCAATATTACTAAAACTATTCTATATAGAACTGATATAATGTACTATAGTCATAAAAACAACTCAAGTGTTTATCTCCTGCATAAACGCAGTGCAGTCCACTGAGAAAACAGGCAGTTAAATGTTCATACTTGTCTACATTAGTAAAACTTAAGTATATTAGGGTTCGTCCACTCTTTGTTCCGCTGTATATAAATGTAGAAGGAAGCCCTCATCACCACTTCCATACACTTGGAGATCATTCTTTGAAAGTTAATATTAGTTCCCTTAAATAACACTTTCATATCTTCAAAGTGAGATGTTACAATTCCGAGAGAAGTTATTTCGATCGAGAAAAATTGAAAGCCTCTCCATCTGTCTTTACTATCTTGTTGCAACGTCCTGTATTTTCCTTGCTTATATTCTCTTGATTTCTCTGCATTCGTTTCGAAGCAACATGTAAGTTCTATTACATATAGGACACCATTCTTTATTAGGGCGATGTCTGGCCGAAAAGTCTGAAAGATTTCGCTTGTCCTTCGATACCCATCTAGATCGCCGTATAATTCAAAACCATATAAACTGAGCTGGCTTAGAAACTGAAGTAGAGTAAACAAAATGGAATCGTGACGCCATGTGTAACAGCCTTCTGTCGCTGCAACTGAACAATTCGCCAATATTTGTAGCTGGGTTTGTCGTTGAGTTCCACATACGCCACAAGAATCAGACT